ATATATATATATATATATATGTATATATATAGATATATATACAGAGAGAGAGAGAGAGCGAGAGAGAGCAACGTCCAAAAGTATAGCCTTGCAATCTACTTTTCATTATCAAGCTTTTACATCCACTAGATGGTGGGATCTGGATGCAGTAATGCTGATCCTTGTGTTCCAATGTAATGGAATCTCGATCTAACGATTCTTAGGATCAAAAACCATATCACTCAAGAATTTGATCCTATAGTAGCCAGGAATACAAACACATACTTAAAGGAAACTCGTTCCCTTGAAAAAAGAAGCAACATCCAAAGGCCAAAAACCCAAGGTCTGAGAGATCCACTCTGGGCGCGATAGAATCGAGACCCTAGAAGGGATCGCCTATCAAAGTAGGCAATCCTGGTAACTATGGCACTATATATACACATATCCATATGGGAGTTACTATACAATTGGATCAACATGAATAGGAGTTACAACCATCACGCATGTCTGTTACATGACGATTACAACCCATTATGCATGAGTGTTATAGCAAGAAAATCACCCAAAAAAGTAGGATAGTACACACATTATTACCACATGCAGGTTTTTCATGATGGCCATGAGGCCCAAAACAACTATTGCAAGTTTCTTTAGTGGGCGTGGGTCCCACAACAGTCACTACACTTTATAATGACAATGATGAACAATTAGAGGAAACACCAATGCCAAATTAGAGGAAACACCAACCAAAATACTATGGTAAAAGCTGATCGTGGAGTCTATAAGATCCAAACATCTAATGTGGTAAATCCAGTTTCTCAATAACTATCTGGCTTGTCAAACTGGAATTAACTTGGCTGAGTCACCGAGTCAACTGGCAAGATATAGAAAACTAACCAAATGAAGGAAGATTCAAATGTTGTAGACAATGCTCTGCACATATAAAAATGCCAATGCAACGATCGAGGTTATATGTACTATCTGTGACAGGAAGAATAATATCAACTTGTGTATTTTCTTAAGCGTGCGCATTAGCCTTTCACCCTCCAGTCCACAACTACATCACTCAAATTAATCGCAGGAAAAAGTTCAAATGATACAAGTGAATGATCCACAGCATGGCAAAGCAAGAAAGAAAAACAAAGATCATGTGACAGTTCAAATACCAACTACATTTACAACAAAAAAGAACTTCTGATTAAATAGGAATGAAGAAGAAAAACTGCAATTGTTTCACCCTGAATTTTTGCAGTCTTATGATTTTTGGAATACTTAATGACAAATGAACTACTATAAAACAAAGCTAACAATGACTCTCATTTACATTCCCCACAGACAAACAGATTAACTACTCAGGCGTTAGATCAGTAAAATTAAACATAGTTACCTTTTCAGATGTAAATATCTTAAATGCCAAAACTGTAAGAAACTGGAAAAGTGGAGGCATCGGCAAATCCTCAGTTACGTTTTCCTATAAGAAATGAACATAATGTTAAAAACATTTAAAATCTGAGATATTTTATCCTGCTTGAAGGTTCAATGTTATCCAAATGTGACATCTTACATTCTTACTACATGAGAATCACATCATTCAGGTTTAAAACCCAAATTTTCGAGATCATACAAATAGTTTTTCCAATATTCTTAGAAGAGTTGAAAATAAAAATAATACCCATAAAGAACCTTCCATCTCAGAACTAAGACAAGAAATAAATGAGGTTCGTAATGAACTAATAAATCTGAAAAATAGAGTCCAGATTATAGAGTTAGCCTCTAATCAAATTGAAAATAGTCCTGTCAATACTGATGACGAACTAGAATTTAACAATATTATAAACGATTATAAGAATCCTATGCCTCTTAAGACAGAAGAATTTTCCCCTAAGGTAATTGATGAACCAGAATCTTCTAATACAACCCAAGATTGTAATTATGTTAGTCTTCTTGACAAAGTAATTACTCAGAAATGGTTTACCATGATAAAAATAATCGTCCATAAAGAATATAGTTTTCAAACTCTTGCTCTAATAGACTCAAGAGCAGATTTAAATTGCATAAATGAAGGTCTAGTCCCTACTAAATATTTTAGTAAAACCACGCAAGTCTTAAATAAGGCAGATGGCAGTAAAATGGTTATAAACTATAAACTTTCAAATGCTGCGGTTTGCAATAATGGCAACTGCTTTGAGTTCCCCTTTATCATGGTAAAAAGATTAAGCCAATCTGTAATCCTGGGAACTCCATTTCTAAATATGCTTTACCCAATAAAAATTGATAATACCGGAATTGAAGCAAATATAGAAGGACATAATGTGAAATTTGAGTTCTTCGAGAAACCTAAAATTCGAGTAATCAGTAATATAAAAGAGAAAATTTCTAATAAAGAAAAGTTCTCATACTACCTTAAAGAAGAGGTAAAATATAAAACAATAGAAACCAAGCTCCTACTTCCTGAGAATAAAAGGGCGATAGAAAACCTAAGAAAAAATATTGAAAAGGAAATATGTGTTGAACTCCCAAATGCTTTTTGGAATAGGCAAAGGCATATTGTTTGCCTACCTTATGAAATTAATTTCCATGAAGAAAGAATTCCTACCAAAGCTAGACCAATTCAGATGAATCCCAGACTTTTGGAAATTTGTAAAAATGAAATTGCGGATTTACTTAAGAAAAAACNTATTAGGAAAAGCTCTTCTCCTTGGAGCTGTTCAGCATTCTATGTAGAAAAAGCTTCTAAAATAAAACGAGGGGCTCCTCGATTGGTTATAAATTATAAGCCACTCAATAAGGCCTTAAGATGGATAAGGTATCGGATTCCTAATAAAAGAGATCTGTTGGATAGACTTGTTAATGTTTGTATTTTTTCTAAATTTGATCTAAAGTCTGGTTATTGGCAAATCCAAACTGCTGAAAAAGATCGATACAAAACTGATTTTAATGTTCCTTTTTGGCAATATGAATGGAATGTTATGGCTTTTGGACTAAAGAATGCCACTTCAGAGTTCCAGAATATTATGAATGACATCTTTAATCCTTATACTAAATTTATGATTGTTTATATTGATGATATCCTAGTATTCTCTGAAAATCTAAAACAGCATTTTAAACATTTAAATATTTTTGTCAAAGCAATCAAAGTGGCTGGTTTAGTAGTTTCTGCCAAAAAGATTAGTCTTTGTCAGACAAAGATAAGATTTCTAGGACACAATATCTTCCAAGGAAGAATAATCCCTATTGATAGAGCCATTGATTTTGCCAATAAATTCCCAGATATAATTAAAGACAAAACTGAGCTCCAGAGATTTCTTGCTTGTCTCAATTACATTGCTGATTTTTACAAAGATTTAGCTATTGATGCTAAACCATTATTTCAAAGATTAAAAAAGAATCCTCCTGAATGGACGGATGTGCATACTTCAACAGTACGAAAAATAAACATAAAGGCTAAAGAATTACCCTGTCTGACACTATCCGACCCTACTGCTTTCAAAATTATTGAATGTGATGCTTCGGAAAAAGGGTTAGGAGGGATTTTAAAACAAAAAATCTCTAATACTGAACAACTGGTTCGTTTCACTTCTCGAGCTTGGAATCCGACCCAGCAAAACTATTCCACTGTTAAAAAAGAGATCCTAGCTATTGTCCATTGTGTTACAAAATTTCAGAGCGATTTACTCAATCAAAAAATCCTAATTCGCACGAATTGTAAAGCTGCAAAAGACATACTCCTTAAAGATGTCAAAAACCTTGTCTCCAAACAAATTTTTGTTCAATGGCAAGGTATACTCTCTTCCTTTGAATTTGAGGTTGAACATATTAAAGGCACCACTAATTACCTTCCTGATTTTTTAATTCGTGAGTTTTTGCAGGGGGGACAAGAGGAGTTTACCAAAAAAGGGGAAAATGGAAATAGTTCCTATGCCAAGTAAAGTTGTGGCAACATCATCATCACCACCAATAACCCCAAAACAAATAGTCAAAAAACAAGCCCAAGATATCACATTTTCTCCTGAACCAATAGCTATAAATACACCAGGAGAAAAGAGTAGGTTCATAGAAACCTCTTTCATAGCCATTACTATAATAGAAGATAATCATAAAACCAAGGACCCAGGGAAATAGCTGCTACATATTTGAATAACCACCTACACCCGAATAAAGGAGACAAAAGCCGAGAATGGTATGAAACCATTCTCCTTGAAACGGGATTTATTACTTTAGTCTATTTTTATATGAAGAATACTAATATGATAGCATATTCCAAATTCCAAATAAGGAAAATAATTTCATACAAAGAATGGGGCACGGACCCCTTAAAACCTAAAAAATTGCAAAATGAAGGTTTCAATAATAAATATTATCAATATTTTGAATACATTAAAGCATGGCATGAGGTCTTTGCTTTTCAAAATAATATAAATTCCCATACATGGTTTATACAAATAAAAATACCAGTAATAGGAGATTTCCCAAATTGGTTCAAAAACTGGTTCCAATTATGGGGATCCGGAACAGAAATGCTGCCACCTAAGATTCAAGCTTCCCAAAGGAAATTCATAGATCACAATAATAATAATCCCAATATAGATCTCCATATGTATTTTATGGCTTTATACCAGATCCCATGGATCATGAAATGGTCCTACCATATATCAGATGACTATACAAATAACTGGAAATATATTCCTGAACTAGGCAGACAAATATATATAAAATGGTGGGACGTTTACGAAAATGAAGCCCTAACCCTTGATATAAAAAAAATGAGAAAGGTACCATTTTCATCCCCTGATACAGAAGTGAAATGGTGGACTATGTAAATAAGCTTCGCCAACAAAACCCTACTACAACCAGAGAAGAGCTCAAAAAGAAATTGCTACAGATTTTCGATGAGGAAGAAGAAGCCATGTCTACTTCAACTCAGAATGAAGACACTTATGAGCAAGAAAACAAAGATATGGATTTCGGAATATCACAGTAAATGATATCACAATACACAAGACGGAGCAACTGCAACCTAAAAGCACACGAGTCTTAAAATGCCGACAAAATAGTAAAAGCCAAAATAGTTATCAACAGCATCTTTTCACCTTTTCCTGTTCATACTGACAGCATCTTTTCACCTTTTCCTGTTCATACTGACAGCATCTTTTCACCTTTTCCTGTTCATACCAACAGAATCTATTCACCTTTCCCTGTTCACATCGACAACATCTTTCTCCACCAACACCTTTAAGTCCCATCCAGCATCACCGACACCTTTAGGTCCCATCCAGCATCACCGACACCTTTTAGTGTCATCCAGCACCAACAAAACTTGAAATGAAAAATGTGGCGTCCACAAGTTATAAAAGAAGGAAGGAGGCCATTCTTCAAGGCATCTGGAGTTTTCTCTCTCCGTAATCTTTCTGCAACTCTATTCTCTCTCTGAAATCTCTCTGCAACTCTACTCTCTCTGTAATCTCTTTGCAACTCTACTCTCTTTCTACTGTATATCTGGTGGTGTATCCAGCCAACCAGATCAAATTTCTATAAAAGGATAAGAGTGTTTGTGTATTAAAAATAGTAAGAGTGGGAGTGTTACATGTGTGATTGTAACTGGGACTCATTACCCAACTACTGTCCGGACGAGTGGAAGTTGTTTTCCAGTTTGTGGAAGTGTCATATGTAAGTCATTTGTTTCTCTTCTCATGTTATTTGTTCTTCTTCTCTCATGCACTTTAAAATAGTTATTTATATAAAATTCTGCCATGTTATTTATGTGAATTGGATCATCATTAATATATCGACTTCTTTGTGGGTTTCTGCTTAATAATATTTATCTTTGCAATACTGTCAATTTATCTTTAAAATTCCTTTTCATATATGTTTCCTCTGTTTGTTGTTATATTTTGCTTATGTGAGCCTTCGTGATACCAGAAGGCGCACATAGAATGCTGAACAGCTCCAAGGAGAAGAGCTTTTCCTAATAAGTTTTTTCTTAAGTAAATCCGCAATTTCATTTTTACAAATTTCCAAAAGTCTGGGATTCATCTGAATTGGTCTAGCTTTGGTAGGAATTCTTTCTTCATGGAAATTAATTTCATAAGGTAGGCAAACAATATGCCTTTGCCTATTCCAAAAAGCATTTGGGAGTTCAACACATATTTCCTTTTCAATATTTTTTCTTAGGTTTTCTATCGCCCTTTTATTCTCAGGAAGTAGGAGCTTGGTTTCTATTGTTTTATATTTTACCTCTTCTTTAAGGTAGTATGAGAACTTTTCTTTATTAGAAATTTTCTCTTTTATATTACTGATTACTCGAATTTTAGGTTTCTCGAAGAACTCAAATTTCACATTATGTCCTTCTATATTTGCTTCAATTCCGGTATTATCAATTTTTATTGGGTAAAGCATATTTAGAAATGGAGTTCCCAGGATTACAGACTGGCTTAATCCTTTTACCATGATAAAGGGGAACTCAAAGCAGTT